GCTGCCTGCCTGATGCATGAGTCGCGCGCGGGGGAAAATTAATTTTTGCGTCTACGTTGTTATTTTTACTCTTATTTAGCCATTTTTTTGTTAGAACCTTTCCGACCGTGACCGTGACGCTCTGAGTTTTTGTTTTCGTGTTTGTTGCAAGTGATTTCCTCCTCGTTTCTACACTGTAAATTGCTGTGAACTTTTTCACGCTTACTAAAAAATATGCACCAGCTTTTCTTGTGTATTTTTTAATACTCAGATTTGCGTAAAATTGGTCGATATATATTTTCGCATTAAAAATTCGCAAGAAGAGCAGGTGCAGAATTTCTTGAAAAAGGTTTTTACAGTTTTTAGTGTGTACGTACTGCGAGAAATGACAACCAGATTTCACCTCTCGCTGAACCAGACCAAAACACACGGCACACAAATGCGAGATGGGAATCGAATTATTGGATCTTCTGCGTTTGCATAAGGCTCATTTGTGAAGCTGAAAGGAAATAAAGCAACTCGTTCGTCGATGGAAAGAATAAGAGATATAATTCCAGACTGCGACCGGGGATATAACCGCGACGTGTGTTTTTTACTTCATCTGCAGATGGCTTGTGCACCCCATTTTACCCGCTAACTCGAGAATCCTATTTACTCGGGTGCCACGCCAGGGCCTTTGTTTCGACAGGCGTTCTCTTATTGAAATCGAATCTGGCGTGCGATGTCGGATGTCGGGGCAGTTTGTTAAAGGCGGTGGCCTTCGCTTTCGCTCCGCGCCTCTTCTCGTCTTGCTTTGTGCCCCCCTCCCCCCTCCCCCTCCCTCCCCAGTCCACCACCTCACCACGCCATTTCTCTCTGTCGGCACGCCCCGCCCCACCCCACCCCACCCCGCCGCGCCACACTCCCGCTCCGCTGACCTTTCTCTCCTCATAGTTACCGCTCTGGGGGGTGTTCCTGGCGGGGTGCAGTGCAGCAGGGGCAATCACTGTATAATGACGCGGCGGTACAAGCTTCCGCGCTGTGTGCTGCGGGGCCGCGCCAGCCGCGCGCGCACCGCCCGACCACAACAGGAAAAGGTTTTTGCTGTCTTCCTTAACTGCATACTACTTTGCTCACGAGGACGCACGGTTTACGAAGGATTTTGCACAATTTGTACATGTATAGACACTCCAGCCGTGATACAAAATGAAAGACGACAGCGTGTTAAACATCTAATTCTAATAGTTTCTAATGGAGTCATGCGTTGAAGAAAGAAGGAAAGAAAGAAAGGAAGAAAAGAAAGCTGCTGTCTTGGCGCTGGTAATGACAAGATAATCAGGCCAAAGAGTACAACGAGGGCGCTTGATTTCCTCCGTGGCTGAGGACGCGAGGGGGGGGGGGCAGCAGCCTAGTCAGTTTCATGTTGTTGTTTTTTTTTTGTTGCCCTTTTTTGTCTGCAGACACAGACACCGCACTCGGTATATCGAGAGAGAGTCGATGTCGTCCTTTTATCGGTTCTGAGGAGGAGGAGGGAGGGGGACTGACCTTAACTGGTCCCCCGTTCTATTATTCAGGCTCGCGGAGCGATTAATGCCGCCGGGCGCCGGGACGTTTAGAGGGTCACCGGGGTCACCGGTCGCATTGAGAGGAAGAGAGGGCGTCGATAAGGAACGAACACGGAGAGCCCCGTCCGCGCGGGTCTGCGCGCGAGCCTTGCTGGGGGGGCCCCACCGGCACTGGCACTACTTATGGTTGGGTCGCTCTCAGCAGTCTTACCCTACTCATACCGCCTCCTGCAATGTTGGCGGAAATCTGCCAAAAAACACTTCACTGGTAAAACAAACTCGGGAAAAAAAACCTCAGCTGCCCTAGCGAAATGTTAGCTGTCCAAGCACTTGCTAAATTTTAAGCTGTTAGAGCTTAACTTTTGCTGTGGTAGTCAAATATTAGCTGCAGGAACTAATGCTTCCGTATAACAGCTTACCCTGTATGATCTGGTTTGGATGACGCAATTAGCTCTCTCAACTAATGCGTAAGCTGCCGCAGCAAATGTTTAGCTGTCAGAGCTGAAAGGTTAATTAGTGCCTGGGCAGCCAACATATAAGCTATCACAGCTAATCAATAGCTTGTGGAACTTACGTTTTTTTCCGTGAAGGTGCGAATCAGTACCTTTGTTTTGCAGACCGTTTGCAAAAGGGCACTAAAGTTTCAAAGGCACCAACGTTTTAGTTTTTTCGAAATATCTTCTTTCAGGGCAAAATAATTTTGTCTATGCTTAAATTTTCACATTCAGCTCAAAATTCAGCTCACGAGGTACCATGTGAAGGGTGTCTGATGCATGTTCCACAAACTAGTTGACCCTCGGCGACCCTCGGAAATCTTATGTATTCCTGTTGTTTGCTATCAGACACCCCTCACATAGTACCTAGTTTCAATCAAAATTTTCAACAGGAAAACGCAGGAAAAGAAAATGCAATCGTTGATTAGCACCTTTCTTTTTCCAGAGTAAATAAACATTTCGATTTCATTTCAATGTTTGGAAAATCCCTATTCTTAAATTTGAGGTTTTTACTGCTAAAGGGTATTTTTTTCACATTTTCTTGTAAAATATAGAATTACAAATATGACGGTTGAGAATTTGGTACACCACATCGTCATTTTCGTTCCGTTTGTCGGGAGGGGTGCAATGCATGCCGGGGACAGCGGCTATTGCGTTGCAGCCGCGGCCGTGTCGGTGGGACGGGACCGGGGACCCGGGCCAAGAGCCAAAGGAATGCAATTTGGCAGCTTAGAAAGACACCTATCTGGATTTCTGTCATTGCGCGCGCGGGGCTGGCGCTCGGCTCCCTGTGCGCCCGGGCTCCCCTCTCCATAATTAAAAAAAACTCGCCCCTCCCCCACGCTTTCGACCTTCACTCTCCAACTCCTGCATGCCTGTCTCTTTTCGGAGCTCCCTTCTACTCCTGCCGCATACGCCTTCCGAACCCTCTGCTCGCCCTCTCTCGTTTCTCCCCGCCAGGCAGCTGCGCGATGCATTTGGTCCCCGGGAGAACCTCGTGCAATGGACGCGCAGACCAACATCATCAGTAGGGTGGTAGCTTTTAAATTGGACCATGCAGCATGCAAGCAAATGAAAGCACATGAAACAATAAAGCGAAAAGGGGGTCGCGCCGTGCGGGGCGTGCCATTCACCTCGCCCGCTACTTCTGCCCCGACAACGTCTGCTGCGCACTTTGTCCGTCTTGGACTGCCCCGCCCCCCCCTCTCCGGTCCTACCCCATCGCGGTGCGAGCGTGCACCGTACGAGTTCCTTCCGGCGTGGCCGAGGCCCACGAGCCGGCGGCGGCCGCCCCGACCTGGCGCTGCCCGGCTGCCTACCTGCCCCCCCCCCCCCTCCAATTCTTCCCCTCTGCTACACGGTCGGTGAAATATTAGCCAATTTTCCGCAGTTTGTGCCGCTTCCTTTTTTATGGCGCCACCCCTCTTCCTCCTCTTTCTTATCCCCCGCCACTTTTTGTATCCTCGCGACGATGACGGCAAACTGCGCACACACACCCCCGATCCCCCTCCTCCTCCCCCCCTTTCTCTCTGACCACGAAGTGGCCGCCCCTTTCAAAATAAGAAATGAAGAAGTTATCAGTCGTTTACTTGGCTTCACACGCGTACGTAGCTTAACTACGGTTAATATGTCAAATATTTAACTTTTTGATAATTATCCGTCGTTTTAGTTTTGTTAAAACGTTGTGAACAAAACTTCAAACGTCCTTGAAATTTTGGCGCTCTGAATAGTCAATTCTCACTACCTGCCGACGAAGCACACCCAGAAAGATCCTTGTGCATGCCTTGTGCATGCAAACCCGAGTGCAAATATACACCCTGAAAAGCCAGTTCTTGTAACAAAGAAAATGATCTTGTGGTGACTCAAATTTACTTGCCTCAACGCAAATGTGCTTGCTGACTGCAAGAACATTGCATTGTGACAAGTTTATTTTCTTGTTTGAAGAAAGGGCTTTTCCACGGGTGTATTTGTGCCAAGAAAGAGTTTTTCTGGGTGCAGCCACACGACCAAACGGTGTACATTCAGTTGGAGCGCCTTGGTTGGCGCGCGGGCTGAGTTCAGGACGTGCTCCGCCGCCATCCGGCGCATGTGCTCCGTAGGCCCGACCGGAAGTCGTCGTCTTCTCCGCATCCTCTTGCCGCCACCACGCTCTTCCGGCTGCTTCTTCCGCATCGCGCTGCTCTCTCCGACCTCCAAGAAGTGGAGGCGTCGAGACTCCGGGAGGCCGAGCCGGAGGCCGTCCTTGAGGAGTGGCGCGTCCTTTTGTGCCCCCCCCCCCCTCTCCCCCTCCCCTTCCTCTCTCGTCGCCCTTGCCCCACAGCTTTGCACTGTGCGGCCACGCGCTCTGCAGACCAATGTTTGTTTGTGTGTCCCTCGGCGCGGCGCTCTGCTGCGAGCCAAAAAAGGCGGCCAATGTCACCAGGTCACCTCCAAGCTGGGAGAGGGGAGCAGAGAAAGGGGGTCGGTAATAGGGATGGCCCCCGCAAGTCCTAAGTACATGACAAACCGCGGTGCGACAAGGTGAAGGTGAAGGGGGGGGGGACGGGTTGGGGGCCAGGAGGAGGGGGGGGGTCGAAATAGATGGGTCAAAATAGCGTTGCGTGCGTAGAGTCTGTAAGGGTGAAACGAGACCGGGGTAAGGAAACACATCCCCTGCGGGTCGGGGGTGTATCTGGCTGGCGCCTCTTCCCCCCCCCCTCTCCCTCAATTCTCTTCCCCCCACCCCCCTTTGCTCCTATCACTACTACCTCCCCGGCGCACCTGCTACACCAAGCGAGCAGGAGAGCTCGGGACCAGAAAATTGGAAATCACTGGCTGCTCCAAGAAGAGGAGCATCTTTCTTCTTCGCTCCTGTACGGTTTCTTTTTGTTTTTTCCTATTTCTCTTTTTCTATCTCCCGTACTTTTTTTATCTATTGCATTCTGCGCAGACTCTATTTTCTGGACAAACTTTTACAGTATGTAACGTACGTTTGCTGCTGCAGGTGGCCCAGTTCGGGCTGAGTGCAGTCCTGGTGCTGGAGGACGACATTCGCTTCGAGCCCTTCTTCCGCAAGAAGCTGTACAGCCTGATGGACGAGCTGCGGGACATGCGTGCGCAATGGGACCTCGTGTGAGTAAACCTGATTGTATCAATTAAGGCGACTTTACTTGTGTTGCATTGTAAAACAAGCGAGCATCCAGAAAGTACGTTCTTCATTCACCTTTACGGAACCGTCAAGTTGTGCCCGTGCAAGCTCTCATAGCACCTGATAGGTAGGCAATATCTTGCTTGCAGTACATGCTTGTACTGCGGGGTGGCCTACCCCAAGTCTCGCAGGCGCCAAGCTCCCGTAGTTTGCTGAATGAATCCGAGAAAAAACGAACGTACTTTCTGAATGATTCCTAATATGGCTGACGACTTTTAAATAAATAACACAAGAATACGGCTGTGGGTCTGATGCAGTTACCTGGGCCGCAAACGCCTGGAGAAGGAGGAGCCTCTGGTGCCCGGCGCCAAGCAGCTGGTGCGGCCCGGCTACTCGTACTGGACGCTGGGGTACATGCTGTCGCTGACGGGCGCGCGCAAGCTGCTGGCCGCCCGCCCACTGGACAACCTGGTGCCCGTCGACGAGTACCTGCCCATCCTCTTCGACCGCCACCCCGAGTAAGTCACGGACCGTGCCCCTTTCTTTTCGTTCATTCGTTTGATCCGTTGAAGTCGTAGACGCTCGACGTCTCCTGACACGCCGACGCGTCGCTGTTCTGCCTCACAGGGAGTCGTGGCGGGATCGCTTCCCGCGCCGCGACCTGGTGGCGCTGTCGGCGGCGCCGCTGCTGCTCTACCCGACGCACTACACGGGCGACAAGGGCTACGTCAGCGACACGGAGAACTCGGAGGTGATCCCGGAGCCGTTGCGCGGCGCGTCGCGCCCGCCCGCCGCGGACCAGCACCTGCGCCAGCACCGCCAGGGCCACGGCCAGGGCCGCAGCGAGCTGTGAGGGGTCGGGGGGCGCTCCGGCCCTCCCACACCGCCGCGACCAGCACCTGCGCCAGACCCACAGCCAAGGCGCCCGGCCCGGCCCGCCCGGCCAGGGCGCGCTTATTAACCCTTTCACTCTCTTTTGTACCTCCTTCCCCCTCTCCTTCTCGCTTCCCCCTTTATTACCCTCTTTGTCCTCAAGACCACTCTATCTCCCTCTCACACGTATACCTTACGTCGGCTCTCTGTCTCTCTGCCTCTCTCCCTCCTTCTCTGCCTCTCTCTCTCCGCCCCGCCCTGGACCCGCATAGCCTACCGTGTTCCTAATGATGTGGCATTAGGTGGCCTGGTCCCGCCGCGCCACGCCACGCCGCACCCCGCAGCGTTACTCGGGAGTGTTTCGGTGAAAATAGAAGCAAAAAGAAATGACGCACAAGGAGCTTAAGTTCCGCAGCAGAGAGGACTATTTTATTTTTTGCGTCTGCTTGTTTTCGCTCTCTGAGTTTAAGGAGAAAGGGGAGGGGGAGTGCCGCGGATTCAACTGAATATCGCTGTTGGACTAGTGCCTTAAGCCAGATTGATCGTTCGACCCACCCGATGCCAAACTTGGAGCTGTAATTCGGTCCGAGTTTTCCCTGTCCCGCTTGGAAGGATTGAGAATCCATGCGTGCCATTAGTCGTGACGGATAACCCAAGTATTTCACTAAGGCTAAATAAATGACGAAACCCTTGATATTATTAAAGCCACACCTTTGTATTGATTTCAAAGATTTTGTGCCATAGATGTGTGTGTCATATTTTTAATAACACAGAGATCTGTTGGAGTGCCAAAGAATGTTTTATTATGATGACTTTCGTGTACAATTGTTGCCAAACTGTTATTTTTATGTCTAATGTAATTATATGTACCTTTGATAGACGTAAACAGCGCGTACTTACTAATCGCGGCTCTTACGGCTAGCTAGCATGCGCTGGTGATAAATTAATGATGTCATTGGCTTACTAGGAAACTCTTATGTCGTTAGAGTAGTGTAGCCATGTAATTTTGCTCTTGTTATTGTTTGGCTGAAAAGTTTTTCCGCCTTATGTTATTATCGTTAGTTTAGGGAAAATTTCCTCGTGATGGTGGTACTTACGTATAGGAGTGTGGATGTATGAACTGTTTCCATTGTTTGTTCCTTATCTTGCAAAAATACATTATTTTGCGTATTGAAATAATGCCCTTTTCATTACTTTTTAATTGATCATATGAAGGCAAATTTCAGCAAAATTATCTCGAGGCGTCTTTTAGGAAATTTTGTTGGTACAATCGCTACGGCGCGCGGTGCGCACGGATGGTCCCGACGTGGTCGGCCAGCTTGAGTCGGTCGTTTGCTCCCAATGTTTGCAGCCTCCCCCTCGAGCGCGCGCTCCCACGCACGACGTGCCAAGGCGCGACAGGCCGCGTGCCAAGCCCTCTGCCCCACGCCTCCCGTCCCCACAGAAAGGCTAACTCAATTACCCTTCGTAACTTGCGCAGTTTAGAGGACGTGTCCAGCGCCCCGAGGGCTGCCGATGAGGACACGCGCCCGTTGAACAAATACAACAAAACTGAAGATAAGGGAATAAAAATGGAAAATTACTTAAACTTACGTGCAAACGTCATGACGTTTGAGGAGCCTAGAGTTATGAGGAAACTGTTATGAGTAAATAACCCGTTTTTTTCCTCCATTATATTTGATCTGGGCTTTCCTCTCGACCCAACTATTGTCGTTTTGAGCAACAGAGCTCGCGCAACAGTACTCTGTCGATTCTAATGTGTACATTGTCCACTTTGAATAAAGTGCACGTGGCATGTATACTTTCATCATTGTATACAGCCCATGTGCACTTTTCTGAATGGGTACAGGCCCATGTACGCTTTATTTAAAGTATACAATGTACACATTTGAATCGACCGAGGGGTCGTCAACTTCGATATTCCTCCGTACACGGACTGATATTACCTCAAACATTACACCAATATTAGCCATATTACTGGTAATATTACCTCGTTACTACACATTTTTCTAGTATTATGAATCACAGCTTGAAAATTGGCACAATATTACCAATATTATTTGTAATATTCAATATTCCTCCGTACACGGCCAAGGAGAGTTTACGACCCCTCGGAATCGACAGAAACTCCCTCTATTGGCAGGGGGCCTGTTGAAACCAGAGGTCTCGTCTTGGCGGATACGCCGCTCGGCTCGGGCCAAGTGCACGCGTGTATCCGCCCCCTCCCTTATGTCGCGTGACGTAGTAGTAGACCCCTTATACTCCGGAAGGGCGAGCGAGAGCACTCGAGCATGGAGGGGGTTGTTGGAGGAGCGCGTAGGGGCGAGTTGTTAATTGGATATGGCGCAGGTCGGGCGAGGGCCCGCCGGGCCGCCGGCCCCTTGTGTGCCAGCCGTCCATCACGCGCGCTGCTGAGGACATTTACATGTTGGCAGCACTGGGCCGGGCCGGGCCGGGGTAAATAATGGACCCGCTGGAAACAAACTTGTGCTATTACGTGCGTGTGCCTCGCAGCGGCGGCGCGCGGCGGACGTGCGCCGCGGGGATAGGCCACCCAACTGGCGCCGGGGCGCCGGGCGGGCCTAAGCGCCGCGGCGGGAGGAGGGACCAGCTCGGGGACCAGCTCTGCTCCGACGGCGCGCCACCACCACCTCTGCGCCTCTGAGGCGCGCAGGAGCGGGAGGCGCGGCGCAAGGCCGTGCGCCTGCGTGACTGCCGCCGCCGTGGCGGAGGTGCTCTATATCCGACGTTTTTGGGCGATATCAAAGTGGGCCGCTGGAATGGAAAGGGATTCCCTGTCGGGTCGGGCTAAGGCCGCGACCCTATCTGACAGCCGGCGCGCGGACGGGGTGCGACCGAGTTGAGCCGATCAGCGTCGATAAGGAAATGGGAGCTCCCCGGGGCCACAGTCACCAAAAAGAAGGAGGATTAACCCTTCTCGTTGCACTGCTCGGCCTAATGTGACAAAGTGTCTCGAAACGTTTGTATCAAGAAACGTAAACGTGCCACATTCGTGTTTGTCTTTAGTTTCACCACACTCTCCTCATCTCTCAGCTGATCTGATCTTTCACTGGTCGAGAATCCTTTCCCTGATTATCTGCGAGTACAATTTAGTAAGCGAGAAAAGCTCTAAACTCTCTAATTACACACAGGTGGTGTACACAAAAGCCGCGACAAGAGCTACCAGCTTTATATTCTCGGAAACCCATTATATCGTCTCCACTAAATACTCCCCCCTATGCGCGTGGCGCAACCCCCATTCTCGGCGTACTTCACACCCTCCCCCGGGTCGGCCGCTGCTGGAATAAATAACCCTCCCCTCCTCCTCCCCTCCTTCTCCCCTCCCCCACGCCCAGCCTCTCCCTTTCATTCCCACTAAGCCTTTGGCGCCTATAGCGATTGCCCGAGTTAACTAGGAGCCGATCGACCCTTTCATAAAACTTTCACTGGCCGTTGTTGGAACAGAGCGCTACGGCCGCTACCGCTGGCGATGCGGCCGTAGCGGTGTAGCCGGCGTGGCGTGGCGCAGCGTAGCGGTGCAGCGCAACGAAAGTGGCAATTATTCTCCGGGCCAGTCGCGTCGCTCGTTGGCTGAGCCGCGCTGAGCGGCCCGAGCCCCGGGGGCGGCGGGCCGGAGATGTCGTTTAGTGGGCGGCGCGGGCTGAGGGGAAGGGGGTGACCGAGGGGGTGACGACGCACTCTACTGTCGTATCGTTTCGTTTTGAGGAAGTTGCCCGATAAGAGGAACAAGAAGAAGGTAGCACTGATGAGGAGGTGGCGTGGCCCGAGGGGGAAATCACTCCACATCTGAGTGTACGAGTTAGTACGTTAGTACACGTTAGTACACCCTATTTTTTGCGCAATTTTTCATCATTTATGCAAAATAATGTATTACGGCACTATTACGCTTGAGTTTTACCATTAGTACGCGTTATTACGCTGTTAGTACGAATTAGTACGTCTTTAGTACAGGCCTGGGTGTACGAGCTAGTACGCAAGTGATTTCCCCCTCGGCGTGGCCTAGCGCCGTCCCTAAACAAAGCAGAACGCTGGCGACCATACTGTGTTTTGTCGAAAGTGTACGTGTGATCATAAATCAGGTTTTGTAGAATTTGTGTAAAAAGGGGTGTCTGTAAAGTTTGGCTTCGGAAAAGTAAGTTTATACAATCTTCTAAACCGTCTCCCTGTGTCGTTGTTTAGGTTAGTGTACGGACATTTTGCATTAGTACTATTTTAACTCAGTTATAATCACTCAACAGCCGTAAAAAAACATGGTATAGGTGTGTTACGAAGGTGCTAGATGCATAGGCCCGTTCTAAATTGTTTTAAATCGAACGACACGCATCCTAACCTCTGCTAGACTCTGCTGTGTTTAGGGCCGGGTCATTATTCCTGATGTGACCTTTTACGAAAATTTTCCTTTAATCTTTCATATGTGACACTAATCTTATTGCCCCCCCCCCCTAACTTGTCCTTTTAAAAGACACGACTTGGCCTGATTTCCGACATATTTTTTTTTCGTGAGACTTGTGCTCGCTTCCGCTGTCGGGCTCTGTAAAGCACACCCGGGCGACGTGCCACTTTTTGTTCAGTGTGCCTGCTCTGTGCTCGCCGGAGTGTGTGTACCCCACCTCCCTTTCCCTCCGCCAATCTCGGCTGCCTCATCAACACCTTTGTCATCACTGGCGCGCCCGACGCCTGTCGCGCAGGAGGAGGGCCACCCTACCTACACACGTGCTCCCCCCCCCCCCCCCCCCCCCAACAACGTGCGTTACATGGAGTTCTACACGAGTACGCCTTAGCTGGTGGAGCGGGTGTGGTCTTAAAATTGTGAACTTGTGAGGCTCGTCTCGCGCCAGCTTCCGGCTGGCCTGCCCCTCGTCGAGGGAGGAGGGGTGGTGTAAAGTTTAAACAAGTTCCTAGGAACGAGCTCGTCCTCGTGGATGTGTTGGGGCAATAAGATGTTTGAGGCCGGCCACACTCGGAGACAAAAGAAATATACATTCACAAACGTGAGGAGCTCCATTTGCCATTGGTTTGAGGAAAATTCTTCAGATCTTGAGGTAGTCTCCTGGGAAAATGTGAAATTTATCCTCAATTTTGAGAAGATTTCTCAAAATCTGAGGTGAGATTGGAGTAGTTTTCCTCAAATATGAAACTTCCAGTACCTCAAAGTTTTACCCCAAAAACCAAAAAAGAACAAAAAAAAACCGACAGAAAACTTTGTTTGTGAGTGCGGAGGCATATTTCGCTTCCACCCCACCCAGCTCCGGTTGTAATGGCTCAACGCGAGAGAGCTCGTATCTTAATACTCTTGCGCTCTACTATGACTCGCCGGCGCTGCGTTTGTCAAACCCAAAAGGGTGGTTGTAAACGCGCCCGGTCATGAGGCTGTCCTTTGTATTATGGCAGACGACGGCTATGGGTGTGGCGGGGCGGGGCTGGGCGGGGTGCGGCGCCGCCAGGCTGGCCGTATTAATTAGGGCGCCGTGTCTGTGCCATTGCCTGCAACGCGTCTCTGTGCAAACGAGCTGGCGCTGGTGGTCCCGCCTGCCAACACCCCAACACCCAACACCCCCGCCCCGGCCGCCGCCCCTGACCGCCGCGCCCTCCGCCCCTACATACAACAACCTTGCAAACCCGCCCAATCTCCCCCTCCGCGCCCCAAGCCAACTAACCCCCCCCCCCCCTCGGATGAGCTCATAACAATCTCCTCCAAGCTCCAACACCCTACGGCCAACTTCCAGCCCGCATCGACGCCTCCCTAACCCCTCTCTCCCCCTGGTCGCACTCCCTCCCCACCCTCTCCCGAGCTCAACAACGCACAAACTCGCACGTCACCTCACAAGAAGTAGTAGTGTTGTGCTGACTTGTGTACGGATTGCATTAGATGAGACTGGGTCCCGTCCGCAAGACAGTTGGGCCCGCACTGGTGGATCCATCCACCCTCACACCACTGTCACCCCCTCCCACCCCTCCCTACCCCACCTTCCTCCGACACCTCCTACGTCAACCAGAGCCGCGCGAAGCCGTGTTATAAGTAACAAACGAAAACAGCAGTGGCGCTCGCTCGTCTGTGGTAATGGAACTAGACACGCGTGAGCCTGCCGGCCGGGCCGGCTGGGGCTGGAGCCTCGGCTGGAGCTGGTCCTGACCCAGAGGGAGCCAGAGGGAGCGGG